GGAAGTAGACTTCCTAGCCTTAAAACCGAAGTAAAGCCAACATTTTTGGCTTTATTTCTCTTTTGGGTCGTAGGAGGTACATTTACCAATGTACTCCTCTGACTCAAAGTCAGCTTATAGTGGGCTACTGCCTGCTATATGCGGTCAGTGCAGAGCTATGCTGCAGCTGGGATGGATAGACAATATTGTCTGGATTCACCCAGTTGCCCGCAGTGCGTAGTGTTTTTGCACCAAAAATACTTTTTGGAATTACGTCCGAAAAGTTAAATCTTCCCACATGCTTTGGTCAGACTGGATGTAGGTTTTTGCAAAACGCAACAGGGCTTGAATGTTTTTCTTAGTTAGAAAAGGCTTCCATCTTGCCACCCTACCCAACAACCCTGCGCATCGCCAAAAGAACATTATACCCACAGTAAAGCATGGTGGTGGTAGCATTATGCTTTGGGGATGTTTTTCTTCAGCTGGAACTGGGGCTTTAGCCAAAGTGGAGGGATTTTTGAACAGTTCCAAATATTAGTTTATTTTGGCACAAAACTTTAGGCCTCTGCTAAAAAGATAAGAGAAATTTCACCTTTCAGCACGACGACCCGAAGCATACTTTCAAATCAATAGAAGAATGGCTTCACTAGAAGATCAAAGTTTTGGTAGGGCCCAACCAGAGCCCGGACCTGAATCCAATTGAAAAACTGTGGGGTCACCTGAAGAGTGCTATGCACAGGAGATGCCCCCACAATGACAGATTTAGAGTCGGTAAAGAAAGATTCTCAAGGCAAGATGTGCCATGCTGAGAGCATTCAGTCTTTTGGGGTAGGAGTCTGTCATAAAATGAAAAGGTGTTTCGACATACTATTAGTTTAAGGGTGTACATATCCATGCAACCATATTATTGTACGTTTTTAGTTTCATTTTTTCCCCTTTTAAAGATTTCAGTTTGCTTTTAATTGATTTGCACATATTATAGGTCACATTAAAAAGGTGGAAAGTATTCGGAAGTCACTTATCTTTGATTTTTTTTGACATCCCAAAAGCATGCCATTTTTACAGCATCTAGAATTTTTATAGCCCCTGTATATGCAAATTTTATGTATGTAATGTCATGTTAAAGCATGACTATCTTAGGATTATGTTTTATCTGTATGATAAAGTCCAAGCTCTTTTCCAGCATGGTTACGATCTGTTACCGTTTTCATCTCCCTCTGCATTGATCTCTGCATGATCTTGGGTATTATCTTCTCCTGGGAGCCTATTGCATGGGACAATTGTAATAACTGATTAAAAGCCATGTTTAGGTATAAAGAACTCTCCCCATATCTTGACATTATTTTAAAGAATTAACACATATGAGATTGTATTATATAATTGTTCAAACTGTAAATCCCATGTTTCCAGAGGACAAATCCCTCCAACTTTGCCACCTCCTTATATATGTAGTTATCACAAATGGTGGACAAGTCATAAACCCCTTTATCCGCAACAATTCCTTTACCAGTCTCAAAAGGTTTATTAAACAACTGAAAAATAGGAGCACCCCCAGGCTGTGCCGGGGATTATGAAGTACATATAATTGGGACATCCATATCATCTTTATAAAAATGGATCTGACAGCTTGAGACAAAAGGAAGGTTACACAAGTTACACTGTCCCTGAAATAGGACAAAAAGTGGATTACCATTATAGGGTTAGTATAGATTAATACACCTAAATATTTAAGAGGTAGCCACCTTATTGGATGTGGCAGAGGCAAAAAGGGATTTCAGTTTCATCAACCGATAACACATATTGCTCCAATTTATTTATTTTTTTAACCCCAGATTTTCATCACATAAGTTAACGGTACAGTTTACTTTAGGAGAACTTTATTCCCTTTTCTACTCTACATTGCAACAGCCACAAAAAAAAAAACAGTTTTGTACATTGTTACCACCACTTTAAGATAAGATCACATGAGAAAAATATTTAAGAAGTGTCAAAGTTCTGATCTGCATGTGTTTCAGCTGAGTGATTCAAAGTGCTGCCTCTATATTCTGTCATGATAGGTTTCCGTAAAGCAAACCTATGGGCTGATGGCTTTTTATCTTATATTGTAAAAGAAGGAATTTGCAGGTGTCTACACATCTTTTGTTTTTATAGAGTCCCCTGGGAATCCCTGGTGTTCTGACAAAGTGACCAAATTTCTAGATTACTGGCTCTGTGGTCCGCCTCTTCCCGTGCCTTACAGGCTAGTTCACACCATAACTGCGTTACTCTGCACAGCTGCAGTACAAAGCGTTTTGCTGCAGTTTTGACCCTTATTTATTTTAGCTTAAAATGGGTTTTCAGGTGCAGTCCAGTGCGTTTGCATGTGTTTTTGAAGCGTTCAGGTGCAGCTAAAATGTGGCAAGTAGGATTTTTCCTGACTGCATCGGAACTAACTGCACTGGTGTGAACGGAGCAATTGTCTTTGTGTAGCCTGCAGGTTGAACAACAAAAAAGAAATGTGTATAACCAACTTAGGTGCAGAGCTCTTGCCAACATCTTATACAAAGATATAAAAATCTATTTAGTGATTAACTGGGCAGTACCTACCCAAAACTAATATGTTTTTAATGCATGAGTCCTTTAATGTTTAGGATTTTAAATATTGTACAGTAGATATAAATACATGATTGCAACATAATCACCATCTCTTCTACCCATGTATGACAAGTCATAATTAACAGATAAACAGCATTATAAACACATCATGACAATTATTAATAGTTCAAGATCACATAGGTGCAAAACAGTCAAGTTACAGCTTGCTACATTTAGCTCTGTGACAAAAACACATCTACAAATCCCAGGCGCCCTACACACAATTAAACAATTGTAAAATATTTTCACATTTAAAATGCCTACATCAATAACATGAATTGCACTAAATCCCTGGAATTTGCAAATAATTACTATACATGAATGCAAAGTTCTATTTCAGAACAGCAAAATAATTTCCTAAATCATTGACTAAAAAAACAAAAAACATAGCGAACAGTACTTTAGTTTTTCATGCTTAGCCTATATATACCCCCATACTAGTCACACTAAGCATATTCACCTGGAATGCCATTGGCCAGTTCAAGAATTTAATTTGAGGCCCCAAATAGTTCTATAACCCCTGCATTGTGCAGTTTGGTTGATCGTTTAGAAAAATATTCTAGTTTCTTTGTAGGAAAATAAGGCTTTGAATTTGTAACCTGCTGCAAATACACAAGTTACAAGAGATGTATTCTCATTTAGCGAATCGATGACCTCAGTAGAATTAAGGGGTTGTATAAATGGTCATTTGACAGTCAGTCTAAAAGGTGCCCAAACACCTTGCGATCATTGTTCGAAAAACAAACGTGATCGGGTTTCTGTACATTAAAAAAATCGGACAGCTGATGAGAAGTGAATGAACACTGCACATGTGCAAACGAAAATCTGTTTTGTCAATCAGACGAAATTCAGGCAGTTAGTATTGCTAACGAACGATAATGGAAATCTACATTGGTCTGTGCATGATGGGGTTTTCGAGCAGAAATCAAACAGAGGTTCGAGGATGGGACGAAAGAAAATCAAACGATAATTGTAAGGTGTATGTATGGGCAGCTTAAGCCATACCTGCTTTGGGTAGTCGGGCTAGACTCTGTTGCGGGGATCAGGTGGCCATTAAGGAGACCTCCAAGGCAGCCTGCAGCTTAATTGTATTATTCAATTTAATAACTTTACGTTAAAGTGACACTAAACACAGGAGTTAAACCTTAAAAATGCATTCAAGTACATTTATGATTAACAAAAATGTATTTGTCCATCACTCAGCTATAGATCTTGAATTAATCTCTGAATTCATGTTGACACTGTCCTTCCTTCTGGAGGGTGGATACTTTTGTTCCCCATTGTCCCCGTGTGTGTTGTAGTGGTCACTGCTTTCAGCTCACTCCTGTGATGGACTACAGCCTCCATACAAATTAGTAAACTAAACATGAGATTGTAGTCCATCATGGGAGTGAGCTTGGAGCGGTGGCTACTTTACAACACACACAGGGACCATGGGGAACAAAAGTAACAATCCTCCATAAGGAAGGACAGTGTCAACATGAATTCAGAGATGATTTGAGGCAGGGGCGTCCCGAGGCTGGGTGGCAGTCGGAGCGGTTACCTGCCGGCGGCCATCTTGGTGATGGATGCCGGCAGAGAGAGGAGGGGACAGTCACCCAGCGGGATAAGGTATGCCACCGGGTCCCCTCTCTCCTGATACTGTCGGGCGTTCGGTCAATGACCGAGCGCCCGACTTTTCAGAGGGGGGTGATACCAAATGACTGTCATTTTGGTGTCATCCCTCCTATGGTGTCACCCAGGTGCGGGCCGCACCCCCCTTGTGACGCCACTGATTTGAGGATCTACAGCGAACGATACTTGAATGCATTTTTAAAGGTTTAACTCCTGAGTTTAGGGTCACTTTAAAGATAAACCTGTAGTGAAAAAAATGTATATTGTCAGGATTGACTCAAAAGGATTTGAAACTGACTAGCCCATTAATCTTGCACTACACTACAGGTTTGGTGCTTAGTTCAAACTAAGCACGTTCTTTTATCATCCATTTGTACAGGGTTTTGTTTTTTTACCAGTTACTATATTGCTCTACCTGGTGCCAAGTATGTGGAGATCACAAGTGTGTTTGTCTTAAGTATTAGTGCATGCTTAGCCAACTCCAGCATTCTCAAATAACACCCTAGGATAATCAATAAGCTCTCAGATAATCAGTAGTTATGCTAGAACTGGGGCTAAGCCATCCCACAATAAAACACAACAATTGATATATCTCTATATCAGTCTGTGCAAAATACAGATAATTGAAAGTAATTGAGTAGGGGAAATTTCCGCAGCTTCCCTTTTAGATGAACTGGAGCTTATAATTAATAAAAGTGAATTAAAAAAAGTGCATAACGTTCACCACTTTAATTGGAATCAATTCAACTGGATCAGTTCACCACAAAATTGGATCAGTTGAGGACTGGGCCATTGAAAGCTGAAGGATGACACTTCAGGAATTCCTTCATCATTTTCTTTTTTTTCTTATCTGGAATAGCAGAATTTCTGTCCACCGCTGCCTTTAACTGCTGAATTTCACTTATTGTGTTAGAGAACCTCTCCCTTTCATATTCTTCCGGCGTTAAACGCTGACAAAATGTGAAGCCTGTCACAGGGCGATATGTAAACATATAAAGTGATAAAATGCAGTAATTCTTACAAAAAGTGATAATGTTAACACACATTTTATTTTTGGCTTACAAAATCCCCATTACAAGATGCTAAAATGCAACCCTAGTCAAATGCTAGATGCAGTTTAAATACAAGTTAGAGAACTATGAGGCGAGTGAAAATCACTCATCCCCATATTTCATGCCGACGTGTGACAATGAAACTGTCGCACATCGGCTCAATAGATCGGGAAGTGAACGAACACATACCGTCGCTCGCTCACTTCTTGATCATCTCCCTGCAGAGAGCCATGACTGTCAGTCACCGCTCCCCGCAGCGATTTCCCCCCCCCATTTTAATGGCTTTGCCTGCCAAAGGATTTGCAATTTTTTAATTTTCTCCAGTGTTATGACAATCTATTCCCAAGTTCAGAAATTCAGCAAAGTGTCACTAGTAACATTTCTAACAGGCCGTAGAAACCAGTTTTTTTTCTTTTTAATCTCGAAACCTGGAGCGCAGAAACAAAAATCTGATGGTTGCAAAGGGTAGGAATTAAAAAATATAACGTAAATACCGTATTTGCCGGTGTATAAGACGACCCCCTAATTTTCCATTTAAAACATAGGTTTTGTGCTATACTCGTCATATAAGACTACCCCTCTTCCGAGGCAACACCATTTAAAAACATCATGGATGGATGTGCGGCAATACTGTATGTACGGTAGCTTCAGCTACATACAGTATACCGCGCTGAGCCAATCACAGCGAGCAACGTATTCTATTAATGAATACAAAGCTTGCTTGGATTGGTTGTGTACATCGCTCACCGTGATTGGCTCAGCTACTGTATGTAGCCGAAGCTACCGTACATACAGTATTACCACACATCCAGCGGGCTGACAGATTAGGGATGTTCGTTTTGGGCCAGCTTGGCCTAAACGAACTAAAGGTATATATTGTATACCCGGCGTATAAGACGACCCCCGATTTTCGGGGGATGTTTTGAAGTATAAAAAGTAGTCTTATACGCCGGCAAATACAGTAGTTCTCACTTATGTGCTGCTATCAGGAAGACATCAGGGCACCCATACTGGACATACATTATCTGCTGGTTAAACCCTCAGGTGAAGAAAGCCAAAAATATATTAATATTAAATTTATATTTCTCTGCATTTAAGTGACCATAGACTGAACATTCCAACAAAGTTAATAACATACCTGAAAGATCATCTGGATCCAATCCATTCTGTAGACTTCTTAATTTTGTGCTTACAAGATCCAGCAACTCCATGGGGGTCTACAAAAAGAACTTTGAATTTATACTGCCCTAAAGTACAATTATACCATCATTGATCCTATAATGCAGATTGTCAAAAGAAACATATGGAAAGATGAGAATAAAAGGTATTTAGATACTGAATGCATAAATTAGTCAATACAATTAAAGTAAAGTGTTTTACTACAAGCAAACGCTTTTTTATAAAAGGTCATCATAGTGGAGCCCTCTTACAATAGAATGGGGGGAATTTATCCAAACTGGAGCAGATAGAATCTGGAGCAGTTGCCAATGGCAACCAATCATCTCTCTTCAGTTTGTTCCGTTACAATTTGAAAATGAAAAAAAAACAGTCTTTATGACATTTCATTTGATGGATGCAAATTCCTGCTGGTTAAAGTGGTAAAGAATCTCACATTCCAAAACACAGGCGCTTACCTTAAAGAGTTCACTGGATTGTTCTATTAAAAATAGGGAAAATTCTTCACTTTGTGCTTTTGATACTACAGTGTTCTGCACAATTACTTTAGTAAATGTCTTCATCACTATAACCTTGTTATCAAACTGAAAGAGAAGGAAGACATTACTGGTAAAAATGCATTTCAAAGTAATAAAAAAACATTTGTGTAGAGCTTTTGTTTGGATCTACAAATATTTCCCATTAACTGTAAAACTCCCATCACTTACATATCACGCTGTACATGTTTTTTTTCTGATTATGAGCTACAGCAGTACCCAGTATTGATGTTACAAATCCCTTCATAGAAACCCAGAGCCGCTTTATCCTATCCAAAGAAGGTTGATGGCTTTTATCTGATCAGATTGCATCTTGTGCGCTTGTGTTGCCTACAACCCACCGAAGCAATATGCTTTTTTTTTTTTTTCATTATGGTCACCTTTGTAGCTATAGGCATTGTGAAAAAATGTCACAGCAGAGGCTCTATACCATTTTCCGGACCAGATCTGGTCCAGAAAATGGCATGAACCTGCCTGCAGTTCCAGTGCGTTCCAGACCAGACAAAATGAGACATGAAGAATTTTTCTGGTCTGGTCCAGAACGGACTGTGCTGATGTGAACAGAGGCCAGAAATAGCATAGGGATACATTAGGATGCATTTTGGGTCCAGAAACAATCTGGTCCGGAGATGATGTGGTGTGGATTATTATTATACAGGATTTATATAGCGCCAATAGTTTGCACAGCGCTTTGGATGGGCCCTTTTGAACCTAAGGGCTTGTTCACAGCAGATGCAGACCAGATCTGCATGCGTTTCTGCACATGCAGTGAGTAATACTGCATTTTTTTGGGGAAAAAAAAAAGTTTTTCCTTTTTTTTGTCTAGCATGGGCTGTGTGTGTTCCAGGGCGTTTGCATGCATTTGCATTCCAGAGCAGGTAAAATAGGGCTTGCTGCAGTTTTTTTTTACATGTTCTGGAACTGTACGCTGCAGTGTGAACTAGAGCCCAAAATACCATTGGAATACATTGAACGCAGTTTTGATCCGGTCTGTAACTGCTCTGCTCCTGGAACGCGCTTGGTGTGAACAAGGCCTAAAACGTATTTTTCCTTTACTTTCAATAAGAGCAGAATCTTGGCACCCTGCCACCCTCCTGTTGTAGACACCAGGTGCTTGTAAGCTGTTAGAAACCCACTCAAGTCTTTGTTATGATATTTGGACCTGAAATACATCACAGAACATGCAGCTAGTGAGGTCAGGAAGGGCTTGTTCTACAAAATAATTCACCAAAAAACAAAACAGGTGAACTGACAACACCATCCCTGCCCCCAAGTTCTCTGCTCATCTACCGAAATCACCATCCCCTGCTGCCAACGGCCAGCTGGTGAAAAAAAACAGTTTATTGCCACTGTGCATAAAGAGAGGCGAGGGATTTTTGGAGATGGCAGTGCAGAGCAGATATGGATACAATGCTGAAAGGACCTGGAAAACTGCAACTCCCAGGGTGCTGTGCGGGAGGGAGGAGGATGGCTATGGACTGGGAGGACTGAGTGTGCGCCCAGGACTTGAAGTGTGCGGATCGATGTGAGACCGTGGGAGTTAGGACTGCCTGCAGCGGAGTGTGTGGTTGCCCTTGATAGACAGAGACACACAGGCTCTGTGCTGCCATGCTTGAGAGACAGTGGTTCGTCTGTGGAGACGAAGTGACGGAGATCGGGTGCCTGAACGGAGGCCTAGTGATGCGTCAGCGGCGGGGATATTGCGGCCTGGTCGTGTGGCCGATCCAGTCACTGGAGTGACCCAGCCAGACCAGCAGAGTGAGCGTAATCAGGTGGAGATTGTTACCGGAGGCCTTAGATGACCCCAGACATGCAGTGATGCGTTTCAAGAAACCATAGACAAGTGCTGATGAGCTGCAAGAGACTCCAGATGACCTCATCTCCTTCCTAAGTGTTGTTCCGCCGAAAGAGGGACATCTATACAGCTGCTGAAGGACATCACCTTGTGCAAGACAACCCTTGGAGTGGTGAGAGGCCTATGGGCCAATGTGACAAAGTACTTTTACACTTCTGCTACACAGTATGGGCCCCAACGTTGGCTAGCCTAGGACATTACTACTGGCCAGTAGTCTAGAGGGGTGTGATACTATCAGAGGAAGATATTATTGTTTGATTCCTTCACTCCTAGATTTACTCCTGAGATAGTCTGACATCACAGATCTCTGTATAGGACATAGATAGCCGCAGTCACTGGATGTCAGAGTGCATTGATCTCCCTCATATTGTGCTACTGATACATAGTTACATAGTGACATAGTATTTGGGGTTGAATAAAGACATACGTCCATCAAGTCCAACCCATATAGGTCCACGCATCATCAGTTGAGATTATTTTGTGTTATCCAGCCATTAAATCCTTTACAAAAACTCTACAAAAAGGTGTGTTGGTAAGCTGTGGATCCACCAATTGGGCGGTACATTGGTGCAGAGGGGACAGAAAGACCTGTTACACTAGCGGCTCCTATAGGGGAAGCGCTACAAATGCTTGCAATTGACTGACCAGTAAACTGCTCCCCATTGCAGGCATTATGTTTCAGCCTCCAGGACTGTGCAGTGAAGTTTTAAAGCGCCTGGACCAATACTGCACCTGGTGTGGATGGCAGCAGATAGTAATCACAGTAGCCAAGCGCTGCAGGGACCAGGGGGTGGGGAGGGTGTTGTCATTTAGTTCTCAATTTTATTTTTCATGAAATAGAGAACTTACCCTTTAAAGCTCTTTTACTACTTGTTAAGAATTTGTAAACCCTTTAGTGTGTGTGCACTTTAACATTATTAACTGTTCCAAGCTATCAATAATATACCCATTAATTAGAAATACCCCAGTGGATCAGCAAGCATAAATTCAATGGCAGTCACAATAACCGTTAACCATTACAGGTCATCATCAAAACTTGCATTTGTTTTACATACCTGCTTCTGCAACTTGTATGCACTGGATTCAGAGGCAGTCGTCATAAACGTTATGAATCTGCGGAGCTCTTCTCTTGCTTGTGGCATTAGCAGTCTTAGATAAAGCTGGGTGGCTTCTAAAGCTTGGCTTCTTTTTCCTTGTTCTACAACAAAATATGGAGTCCTTTATATTTGATCTCTTGGGATATTAGAGTAGGGTATAGCTTGGTGCTGAGATGGTCTCCAGCTATGAATGTACACCACTCCTAGGGCTTTTTACTGAAATATATCACTTCCTGGGGGGGGGGGGGGGGGGAGAGAGACAAAGATATT